TAAATTATGTAATTATATCTATCATGTTATATTAAGAGACGTTTTTTTTTTTTTTTTTACTTTCCCTTGCAAGTGATAAAAAGGTAGAAACGGGACAGTTTTTGGATCAACTTCAAAACGTTATTTCTAACTCCATAAATGTCCATTTGAGACTCTGAAAATATTTCTGAATTCCTCATTGGGTTGTCTTAATATGGGCACTAGAATCACTCAATTTGGATATCTATAACCTAAGATATGAATTTTCAAATGTTGAAGGGTTAATCTGAAATTTCTGTGCAATACCTCACTGTTTTCAGTAAAACGCCCATATCATATGATCTTGGAACTTTTTCATATTTTAACCTAGAAAACTAATTGAAAATATCTTTCTAATATCATAAATTTCATAGAAAACGTAGTTGGGATGAATTTTATAAAAATAGTCGAACTTGTTGCCCCAACTAACCGTGGCAGTGTCGAGTCCGTATATGTAAAGTATAATTTCATGTCGACATGCACTTCTACCGACCTTTAAATTTTATGAGAGATATTTTACCAAATTGAAAATAAGTTTCTAACATGTAATACTTCTATTTAAGAGTATTTACATATACCAAAGGCAGAAGTTATTATATTTAGTATGTGACCCTCGAATCTTAAGTTCGGGGCGTCACAGTGAATATGAAATACTATGAGTATAAAGAATACTCAATAAGATACCATGCTTGGATTTAACATGTTAATACTACACAAAAGAAAGCATTCAAACACATACTTGCACATTCCGACTTGCCGGTGCCCATCGGACTTGTCCTAAGGCATAAATAGATATCTAACTTTGTGAACTTGTCCACGTCTTTCATATTATGATTTTCATGCATAACTTAAGCATAAATATTACCATGAAATCCTAGCACTTAAGCATAGAAAATATCTTACAATAAAATTTGAAGAAATCTTGGTTGAAAGATGAATTGAGAATGCTAGACTTTATCCTTTCTTTCTCACGTCAACTGCCCTTTAAAACAAGTGATATTCTAATTTTTCTTGCAAGGAAATAAATGGCAGCAACATTACTATTTATAGGTAAGAAAAAAAATGATTAATTAAGGTGATTCTTCAACCAATTCTACACGTGGGCAGCATGAAAGAAAATCTTAACTTCAATTAAGCACTTATGCATGCCTTTAGCCACCACATGCTTAAGTTAAAACACCTCATGCATGCCTTAGCCACTTCATGCTTAAATTTAAACAATTCATGCATTGCCTTAGCCACCCCACTCACAGCCAAGAGGAGAAAACAAATGTTTACCTTGGTAATTAGGTGTAAAATGGACATTTATTCCAAACCCTTAATTAACAAATTATTTGGAAAACTTTTTAATAAATCAACCAATGCAAAATTTGGCAACCATAAATAATTTTGGCCATAATAAATTTTGAAAAGTTAAATTGCTATCCTAAAAATTAAATGAGCACAAAATTCGGAGTATTACATCATTTCTTACACATAGAGGATGTCAAACTTAATGTATAAAAACAATGTATAAGTAAATTAATTCTTTGAAGTTATATGCTCGTGTTTGAGTCTATTAAAAGATTAATGTTATTTAGTATCACTGATGTTTTGAAACATTCATTTGGGTGGCACTAGTTGTCACTAAATGAAGGTGTAATAAATAAATTACAAAATTTCACCTTTAGTTGAACTAATTACATAATGCCACATAAAATTGTTTTATAGCACCACTGATACTAAATAACATTATTCTCATCAAAAAATCATTTCTCGTAAACTTATTTTCAACCATGCATTTGACCAATAAAATAATTTGAACAAAATCCAAGCTTTTTAAAAAAAAATAAAAATTAACCACACATTCTTTAAATATCACTATTACAAAACTCATTCTTTGTGAAATATAGGCCTCAATTGATACCGTAATTACAAGACACATTATCTCCAGTTTCATTCATCGATCTTGCTACGGGTACATCAAGATTTACATCATGTCACGTAACATTCTATCATTTGCCAATTTAAAAGTTATTCATTTTTTTCATCCAATATTTTCCCTCCACATCATTTTCAGTAACCGTTTGTTTACCATTTTTTATGTACACGTAGCAAAATTCTACATTCGAAACACTAATTCCCCAATTTCGTCCCCAGTTTCTACAATTAGCATACGGTTCTCTATTAAACAATAGAGATTGCTTCCCGAACTTGCGTTTCTTCTTGTGGAAATTACGTGAGATGTTCATTCCCCAAATTGGAATTTCACCCATTTGCCAATTTATTCCCTTCGATCAGAGTAAATCCAAAATGCTTTTGATAAATAATATTAGACACTATAATAAATAAAATTTTAAATTCTTTTTCTTCCTTAATATTGATAATACTACTCAAGACCCTACTGAACATCCGGAAACATCCATAGAAACGAAGTTCTGTAAAAACAATTTTGCAGGCTAGCAAAGTAGTCAGTTCTTTTCATGCTGGTAAACAGAAGCAAAATAATTATTCCATCAGTATTCACACAATAACAGTGAAAAAACACATATTATATACAAAACTGGTAGAAGGATAATTTAAGAAAACAGCTCCACTTACCATGTACATCCCTTTGAAGCGTAAAATCAGTATTAGGTGGCTGTCGAAACCATTTACTCAGAATAAAAATGGAACATGCAAATAGATGAAACATAATGAAATCCTACCCAGTAAGTGATATCTGATGACAATCACCAAGAGTCGGACCATCTGTAACTATAGCATAACTTCAAGTCTTCAAGCAGACTGAAAGGATTTCTCATCCACTAGAATTAGGTGTAGATGTGCTAACCGATTTATCAGTGACGACTGAATCTGGTGACGAAGGAGCAACACTACCCTTCAATGGTCCAACCTCGTCGTCTATCAAAATATCGACAACCTCTACCTTGTGAGCGTTCAAATCCTCACTCTGAATTCCTCTCAAAACCTCCAGCACTTCTTCCATTGAAGGCCTCATATCTCTTTCCTGTTGCAAACACCGAAAAGCTAACTCTGCGACTAATGTAGCCATCCTTCTCACTACGCTGTTCGTCTCAAATCCAAGACTCAAATCAACTAACTCGTGCAATGTGTGATTTTGAATCTTGTTGACCGCCATGTTAGCCAAGTTAATATCAAGACGATGCCTGTTGGTATCCACGGCTTGTAATGATGATATAAGCTCGACCAAAACCACTCCGAAGCTATAAACATCGCTCTTTTCTGTGAGTTGGTAACACTGGTAGTATTCTGGATCGACGTAGCCAGGGGTCCCTTGCGGAGCCGTTGAAACGTGAGTGACATCGTTGGGGAACAATCTGGAAAGCCCAAAATCGGCAACTTTTACATGGAAGTCATTGTCAAGGAGAATGTTGTTGGTCTTGACATCGCGATGTATTATATCTGATTTGTGGAGATAAGCCAGTGCATTGGCTGTTTCAATGGCGATATTCAACCGCACAGCCCAGGATAGCAAGCCAGATTTGGAACGTTTCCCATGGAGATGATCAGCCACCGTTCCATTTGGTATATATTCATAGACAAGCAGCAGTTCTCGGCTTCGTTTTGATGTGCATCCGTATAACGTCACAAGGTTCTTGTGCCTCAACCGAGTAAGGATCTCAACTTCATTCATGAACTGCTCTACACGCTTGAAATTGTTCTCGTATAAGCGCTTGACAGCAACTATACGACCATCAGCTAGCACCCCTGTTAAAAAATCAAAATATCAATAGTTGCATAAAAAATGCTGCATATATCCAACTAACAAGGGGTTGTATTCGTACCATAGTATACGGTCCCAAACCCACCATCTCCTAATTCTCTAGAAGGATCAAAATTATTTGTAGCTTCTTCAAGTTCACTATAGCTGAAGACCTGGACACCGAAGTAGAAACTGGACCTACCAAAGTCGGATTTTGAAGAGGGATAAGAGGGGATGCTCCTGGTAAAAGTAGCCGAAGGGGGGGTCGAGATGCTTTTGCTTGGAGGATGTAGAAGGTCCTTGCTCATAGTTTCCGTAGATTGTGCAGCAAGCCGTTGTTTTTTCTTCTGTCTGTAGTGGAAAATTAACCAGCCTAAGCCAATACCAGCAAGAACTGCACCTGCTATGGAAAGGCCTGGAAATCAGGGAGAGAGGACAAAGATTAGTTTTTCAGGCCTATTGTATTGGAGATATTAAGTCAAAGTCCTTTTTTTTTTTTTTTTGCATAGAACAAGATCGTACCGATATTCATCCCCGTTTTATTTTTACCACTCCCTGCAGCTGTAATTAGATTGTAGAATGTCAGTAGTAAATAAAGCAGTTCAAGTATAGCTAGACACGGGAGAATTAGCTCCCTTAATCCTTTCTACACAATAAAAGAGCGCAAAAATTATTGAGGGTATTAAAATCAAGATAGTGCGAGCAGCAATATCCTACACAAAACGTAGAAAAATTCAATTAGGATCATCAAACTTAATGACAAGGATGTTATAACTTATTCACGACTGCATTTCTCATTGTGCTGTAGGACTTATTTGTTTCCTGTTTGGAATGTGATTTCTTGCTCTTTTCAACTTAGTTCCATACTTCCTTAACAACAGATGCATTCAACAAAACTTATCTACACAAACGCTAAATGTAATGTAGGTTGGGTAACATATGATTACTCTTATTATCAATGAAAATCGAATACATGATTAAAGCTCTACCATAGCTGGTATAATCTGTAACAGTTCCCATAACAATTTTAGCTCACCAGCCATCTTCAGAATATGATGTTCAGACAAGATGACAAGAGGGCAAAGCATAGACAGGACTAATTATCGAGGAATATTGAAGGGATGGATGAAGTCTCGCATCAAATTGCAGTTGTGATAAAGATGAAATACAAATGCTCTGACCGAGTAAGGGGAAAACAAAATCAAATGAATACAGAAAACAGGATTCAGGCAGTCTGCAAAATAGAATTTAAAACTCAAGACGATAATAACAATCCAAGAATGTCATTGAAGAGAAGTATCAAGGCACAGAGCTATTAGAATTTCCTACTATCATAGTCTTATTAAAATTTATTGTGCCCATTACCTTGTGAAGGTACTGAATCATTTCGAGGAGGTGTCGAAGCAAAGGGACAAGGCCTATCACCACAAATACAAACGGGTTGACCTAAACCCGAATCAAACCCACATTGACCGCCAAATCTATTACACTCAGAACAGTTACTCTCATATGGATCGCTATAATTCACACTGAAACCCTCCATTAAGGCCTCCTCAAGGCTGATATCCAATCGAGCTAGCCTCTCACCCGAAGCCCTCAAAATAGGAACAGAAATACTCACATTACAGTATATGATCCTCAATATCGGGTCATTTGGCACCGGCCCAATTAAATAAAAAGCATTGCTAATATTAGCACCACTCGAGTTGCAGCTGAAAAGATTGTAAGGTCTCAAGGGCATGACCGATGTATTGCAGCCATAGATTAAGTTGAGAACTTCGTTTTCCATCCCTTCATCGTCAAACAGTGTAGAATTGAGAGTAGAATTGTGAAATTGAGAAGGGCAGGAGTTGTTGTAAAGGTCTGAACGGGACAGATTCATGGTATTCTGAGTTTGGTCGAGTTGGAGGACTCTGTAGGTGACCGAGTTGCTGGTGAACTCTGTGAAGGTGTTGGCTCGGCATGTGAGTGTGAACTCGGGGAGGCCGCAGTGGGAGGGCCGGTCGCCGCCGGTGAATGGGTAGGTGATGTTGCGGATAATGCCGCAAGAAAAGGTTCGGTTACAGTTAGTATAGATACTGATGGAGGAGGGTGGGGCGGTGGCGTCTTGAGAATACGCCTCCGCTAGAATGGTGGTTATTAGTATGATGAAGAGAGGGAGAGAGAGAGGCATAGTCTGAACAATGTTGAAGAAATGTTTTTCTTTTTTCCATTTTTGAACGTTAAGAGCTGCCTTTGGTTGACTTAGGACAGACTGAAGGGTAAGGAAATTAATGAACAGACAAAGAATCTTATCTTTGTCCAGTTTGTTTCTCATTTATATAAAAATAAGAATAAAAAATATAATTTTACGAGCCCCACACAAGATATAGAAATTCAAAGATAATAATTTCATCCCACACAAGATATAGAAATTCAAAGATAATAATTTCATGTGATGAATAATGATCATATTTTTCATTTTAATAAGAAAAGAATGGGAAACAAATAGGGACTTTGTTATAAATTATGATACGTCAGCTTCCTCTAATCACTGTATAAAAAATATTTAAATTTAATTAAAAGCAACTTTTGACATTTTAAAAGCTTGCCAAACAGACTTAAGAACAATTACAAATTGAAATTGAGAAATTAAGAAAATAAATTAGAAATATTTTGTTAATTAAGCTTGTGGTGGGGTCAGTTACGTGAGCAAATCTATTTAATTGCTTCTTTGGTAGATATTTTGATAATTAATTTTTCAATCATTGGAAATAAAGTGGATCTTACCTCTTATTCAAAAATGACGATTGAAATAATGAAATAACGGTCAAAAAATTAATTTTAATTTGATTAAAATCTCTACCCAAAAAGCTAAGTGTATTTGTTTTGACTTGGTTGCCCACAATTTTTGACATTCGGACAATATTATTAATAAAAAACTATTATATTTTAGTTTCTAAAGTTACTTTCATGAACATTAATTGCTATTAATTGTTGGTTACTGTGGGTAACCACATTTATAGTTAACCGAAATATTTGGTAGAGACTTGATTAAAATAGAGAAATATACCGTGAGATTTTTTAAAAAAAAAGGAAGAAAGAGAAATTTACTAAGCACCAAATAATTTAAAGAAAAATTGAAAAGTAGTCCTTTTCTTTGGATTTTTTTTTTCACCACATTTTTTAATAAATTAATATTCCATAATTCAAAAAAAAAAGTCCTTTTAATTTAAAATTAGGGAAGTTTTACATTTTATTTTCAATCTTTCTCGTGCTATTTGAAATCTTGTCCATTTTTTATTTGATTAAAAATTATATTTTCAGTAGATTTTGGTAAAGTTAATGGGATGGAAAAGTTAATAAAAATTATGAATTTCATAAAATTTGTGACTGAAAATGAATTTAGGAAAAAATGAGTTTTAAAAGAGGTCAAACATGGGGCCTTGTCTTATTCTTTTTTCTTTTTTAATATATAATAAATTAAAGGATTCCTTCATACTATTTGATATATAAACATAGATGTAGTGGACGAATAATACTCGAAGGTATACTAATTAAGAAATGAATTACGATTTTAACTAGTTGAAACATATATTGTCTCGACTCAAAGAAGTTCAAGATGCTTATGAGTTATAAGAATAGTAGAATTTTATTGAAAAAAGTTGAAAAGAGTGGTTGACGAAAATTCATACGGTCTACTTATGGTGTATATGTGAATGATATTTATTTAGAAGGAACCAAAGGAATAGGAAAATAATATTTATGTAGTAAATTGTAAATTTGTGTGAATTAGGTGTTGGATTTTTGCAGTGGTGGAAATATTAGTCAAGACAGCGACAATATATATATATTTATTTATATTGGTTGGTTAATTTCCACCACAGCGTATTCCTAATCCACCTTGGAGAATGTGAAACACACAAAAAAAAATGTCAAATTCTAACATTAAAAGAAGACTGCCAACCCAAACCAAACACCTAATAAAAGACTTTGAAAACTAAGGTGAGAAAGGTTGAAAAAGTGGGTACAAAACACTTGACAAGTACACATGAAATATATGATGGACTTGTAAGAGGCGTTAATAAATGGTGAATCTTTGAAGTGCAATCCCAATTCTCTACACGAAAGGGATTAAAAGTATAGTTACTTAAATTACTCCATAAGGATACTGAAGTGAACTAGAAAAGATCAAAACCCGGAAATCTGGATGAAACAGAGGAGAGGCGGGGAAACAGGATTGTTCTTAATCCTTGGTACAACCTATATTTTTGGTCCAAAACCTATATATGAAACATGCCTGGCCTTTTTCTGTATAATTAGGGACATGTAGTGGTGATTTCATTGATATGTGACGCTTTAGATGAATAAATTAAAATTAATTCAAACTTTTCTGATTTTATTGGAAAAGTCAGGATGGGATCGTGCGTTTGCAGATAATTTTGTTCCTAAACAAGCAAAAAAATTAGTTTCACGTACCGTTTTCAGTTTCAGCAGAGTTGCAAGTTGACGAAAAAGGTCCATTAGCACAATAACAAGCAAATGATAGAGGATCCAGATTAGTTCCACAAACACCACCTGACTGATTGCAATTTTCACAAGCAGTATTATTCGCGGACCACTGCAATGAGAAACCACTAGCAAGAGCGTCCTGAAGAAGAACGATTGAAGCTGAAGAAACTGCCAAGAGCCTCGCCGCAGTTTCATTGACTGGAACAGAGATATTAGTCTCACATCTGATAGGAGCTCCAAATCCGGGGATAGATGGAAAAGCTCCTCCTAATGTGAAGAAACTTGAACTGGTTCGGTTCACATTGCAAGGGAACATCGATGGGAGCTGTAGAGGTATAGGTTGACCACTAGATGTGAAGCAGCCGTAGTGTAAAGTAATATTTTGATCATTGGGTAAAAACAGAAAGATGTTTTCTTCCAAGGTTGTGTTGTAAAGAAATCTGGGACAAGTGGTGTTCCATAAATCCTCTCTTGCAACTCTAACGGTCTTTCTGGTGTTATCGATTTCCAGGACACGATATCGTATTGATGAAATAGTAAGTATTGGGACATCGCCTTGGCAATTACTGAGCTGGAAACCTGGATATCCGCAATAGTTCGGCCTATTCCCACCATAGAATGGATAACTTATTCCCCCTATTCCGGCACACTGAAACGGAGCACCACAGGTTTCATACTCTCCACCGTTTTGACACAAGGAACCCGGGATATGCTGGATTAACAGTAGGCTAACGAGGAGAAGAAAATATCTCCGGTTGAGTTTGGGATGCATATTTAGAGAAAAAGAGGGAGTTTACAGAAAAATAGGATAAACCAAGTTCAAGTTGAAGATGGATGGCTTAAATTTCTTTTTTTTGGACGCAATACGAAACTTTTTGTTTAACATAATAAAACGTGAACCCAGTGGGAATTGACAAAGCATGTCGCTTTGTGCAGTTTTTTCAAACCAATTAGAAGCTTCTGTTGGAAACTTGGAATGGACTAGGTCAAAGAAATATTGTGTAATTACGAAGTGATTGCACATAATTTTAATAGTTGAGCCCAGAACAAAGTGAAGAATTTGTTAGGGATATCAAAGTTGTGTTCCAGACTAAATCCGACCAGAATAAGTAAGGCCCTGTGATTCCCAAAACCAAAGTGAGAACTAGAACAGGGAAATTTGCTTTAACCCTCCACGGGCTCAGATTTCTTTTGTTTTTTACAGATTCAGAACTGAATTACCATTGATAGATACTCACTACACCCAACTTCTTGCTCTATCTCTTCTAATTGTCCTACCACGTGGATGAGAATCATGGATTCCAGAGGTGTATAAAAGATATGAACAAAGGTATAGACCTCAACTGATCGCAATAGCAGGAGATCAAAGAACTCTAGAGTTGTGAAGTCTCTATGGTAATGCATGCCTAATGCCGTGGAAATAATATAGACCTATGTATGATCTTTCTAATTTCTAATTGAAAGAAATGGACGAAAGAGGTTATCAGTTAAAGGAAATCTATTGATGATCATGTGTGAGATGATAAGTGTATTTTATACACTTATTTAGGCCATTAAATTAGGGTATTTGTTAGTAATTTAAATGAGTTATAGCCTAATTTCGTGTTAATTATGTTTGTTAGATTGAAATCAATGCAAATTTGTAGATTTGGAAGAAAGGAACGAAAAATGTGCGAAAACGAAGGATTCCAAAGTTTGGGGACCAAAGTGTAAACATCCAATAGTTGATTCGGATCACAAAATGATGATTGAAGATAATATGATATCAATTGGATGCAATTGAAGGTCAAAGGAATGAAATAATGTTGAATCATTTTCACAAATCAAATTCCAGCCGAAGAAGTTATGCGCTGGATTTTTAGCCTGAATTTGAGAGCCATTTTTTGAATATAAAACGTTCGAATTGGAAAATTTATATTTCTGAAAGAATTTTAGCACATTAAGTCGGCTTTCCAACACACTTTGAATCATTTTAATTGGAGTTTTGAAGAGAAAGTTATGACCAAATTATCGAGAGCTGTTTAGGGACGACGCGCGAGCACGGGTCAAATTTTCTTTGACGGGTCAATTTTCTTATTCTAATGAAATTCTAAATGGAAACAATACCTTGACATCGTATATATACCTAAACACGCCCAGAACGCAGGGAACCTCCCTTGACCTAATTTTTCATCATATTATACATATTTTGAAGCCGAAAAACGAGGTTAGATCATCAACATCAAAGGAATTGTGCAAGATTCTTGGAGATTATTCATCCAAAATCAAGATTTCATCTAAGAAAGTAGATTTCTCGACTTTCTTCCATACTTCTTCGATCCGAGTGATGTCTTTTCATTATTTCTTGTATAATTTAATAATTAGGATGGTTTGCTAAGTTTTTCATTGTATTGGATGAATGATGACCCTACTATCTGTTTATTTTAATTTGAGATAATTAATTTAGTATTTTATGATTTTCTTGATTGGTTTTGTGTAACTTACTATCTAATTGGTGATTAAGCAATTAAATAGTTCAATGAGAATGCAAAACCAATCAAGAAACAATAAGTCTAGAACGCGATAAAATGAGCACATGGACAATAAGTATTAAGAATAATATATATGGCATATGCAATTATATATGATAAATCCTGCGAATCAATGCATGTTTTTCATATAAATTCGGACTAAGAATAGAATCGGATCATGTTAAATATAGGTTTACTATATTTTGGGAAAGAATATTAAATAAAAGTGGATTATCGATTGTCTTGAATGTATGAATTTACTAAATTATGAATTAAGAGTTGAATTAAATGACAATAGGGAGATTCACGATTCCAATACAAACATTCACATATTAAATAAATAATTTATTTGTTTTTTTTTTAGCTTAAGACCTAGAGAACATATAAATCATAACTCTTTTGATTTTATATTACTTCGAATTTAATAAAAATTATTGAACTAAATATTAGACCTTATTTCTCGTGGGAACGATAAACTCGAAACTCATTATTTCTATTACTTGTACAAGATCTCATACGCTTGCGGGTTTCACACGAACATGAGACACAGAGGATCAGTTAATTGTTGAAAATGTATGAACAAAAGTCTCGTATGGAGGATGGTCTTGAATTCATAAGAGAATTGAGTAATTAATCTTACCTGTTAGATAAACTTTTAGAATGGAATCTCAAGTTTCTAAAAGAATTTGTACTTGGGCTAACTTGCATTCATAAGTTGATGATATTCATATTCAAACTTAGTATCTTTTACTTGTTTAAATAATTATTGAACTATTTCATTTAAAAAGCATTCCACAACTAAAACCCAGAGACAAGGAAAATTGTACGCAACATTTTAAAATCGAGCAATGAAAGGCTCATTAGAGATATACCTACTCAAATTTCTGTTGTCATCCTAGAAGGCCGATGACAAATTCTGGCATATTTTGAAAGAGTTTTGAAAATGAGCCCAAAGAAGGCATGAATAGGTAAAAGTGAAACCAGTAGTTTGGTAAGAAGCTTAACTACCGATAAGGCTATGCCTTCTGTTCTATTTGAAAAACTTGATTACCTAACTAAAGAAACAATGAGAGAGGAGTTCAGAAAGTTGTGAAGTCGGGCCAAAGACAAGACATGTCATCTTATTAATATGGCCAAAAATACAACTATTATGAATAGGAAAGAAGTGACCCACTTTTTGTAAGCAGTTTCTAATTCCAATTCATAGTATAGTATGTATCACACAAACATGAACTTAAGCACGTAGCACTCCACCAGAGTCAACTTCGATTCAAGAAGTCCAAAGCGGCCTATAACCGTAGTTAAATTGAGCCAATATAATGAAGTCAATAGCTCTGACATTTTCTTCCTGATCATTTATTCTAAGACAGAATTTCTCCATTCCAAATTTACTCGCAGACAAGTAAATTGAGTTGTCAACATCTTACCAAATTCAAGCAACCACTCACCAATTCAAAATGAAGAAATAATTAACCTCTGATCCATTTAAGTCAAAATCTAATTGGACCATAGAGTTATACTACTTTTCAAGTCTAACAATCCCCAAAGAATGATTCCTAAAGAATTGTGACCAGTGTCACTTCCCAATTTATCTATTTACAACCCTAGTCAAAGTGGCGCTGGATGATAGGCTGAACGAAATGTGATATTAAATGACATATCATTTAATGCTACATTAACGCCATCCAGACTGGATTTGCAACCCCGGGGGCTACATAGCATTATTCCATTAAAAATGATCCTCCTAATGTAATATTCAGGTGACCATACAGTCATTTAACCGCGTTACTATGTCGTCTTAGTCTCATACTTATCGTTTCATAGTGCTCTAGTCGAACCTTGGAATCCTCTAACCAATGGTAAAAATTCACTCTACGAATAAGCCTTAATTCCTAGTGTCAAGAGTATTAATAAACAAAGAAGGAATCAGAAAAGACAGAAATGCTCACCCAAAGATGATCTATCTCCATTAGTCTTCGAGCAGATTGCCGAAATATACTGCTGATCAGGGCAAAAGCAAGCTGTTTGATTTGTAGCAAAGTTAAATCCACACCGTCCCTTCGATTCAATGCAGTCATTGCAATCTTTGTCGTCCATCTTCCATCTGATCTCAAAACCCTGCTGGAGGACTTGATCCAACGTTGTAGAATTCACTGATCCTCCAGCACCATGTCCATATCCAGTACTCACAAGTATCGGAACCACAACACTTGCATTACATTTCCCTGGGCCCTGAGTTCCAGGCAATACATAAACACCATCATATCCACTAGAGCAAACAAGGCTTAAACCCGGAATTTTCAATGTAGGACAACCGTATAGAAACGTGAGGTTCGTGTTGGTCGCTGAATAATCAAACAACGAGTAGTCTAGAGTGGTGTTAACCATGTCTTCTGGACAAGTTGCCCTCATTACATCTTCCCTAACAATCCTCATAGTTTGTGTGCTTTCGTTAATTCCCAACACGTGATACGTTATATTCATTATCTCGATGGTGGTTACATCATTCTGATGACAGTGAAGGACTAAACCGGGATATCCACAATATAGAGGATCATCTATTCCACGGAAAGGGTACCCGATATTGGTGATTGTCCCGCAGCTGAACTTGTTGCCACATGTTTGGTAAAACCCTTCAGGATTGCTTGATCCACTGGGGAGAACTTGGACTAGAATCAAGAATCTTATGGCCAACGGGATAAAGAACGAAGAAAGGGTTTGGGAATTCATATGAATTTATGAATGATAGATGAATCTCAAAGGTATTTTGGGTGATTATGTACAAAAGAAAAGAAGATAACAGGATGATATCACTTTCCCTTAAAAAAATTCTTTATAACAGAGTTGGCACTGAAATTTAAGAAAATGATAGAAGAGAAGACTTAAGGGATTAATTTGGTGGCCAACTTTGCTAAAGGAATACTAGCTAGAACAAGAAAATTGCAATAGATGAATAAATTAGTTCAGGGTTTGTTGACGATTAATTTCGATTAGATGGCAGTAAGTTGCAAATAATTTGAATTTTGAAGGTTGAAATATCATTTTCACTTCTATTTCATTACCAAAATGAAATCGTTGAGCATATCCTACCTAATATTCATGACAATAGTGTATAATTTCAAGAAAGAATATAATTTATGGTTGTTGGTTGACGCTACTTGAGAGCTAACTGAAAACAGATGTTTGATTTCAGTGAGAAGATTAGATAGGCATACGTGTATGCACGTTTAAAATTTCAATGGAGCAACCACGGCTTCTATTCTGGACTAGAAGAAATGGATGCCATCATGCCAAGGCAGGGTTGACACATAAACATTGATATTTAATTTTTCCTTCTTTGTCTTGTTAAATTCTAAAACCTGATTATTGTCGTTGTTCAGAGTACATATGTGGATAGATCTTATAATGATCATAAGAGAGAGAGAGATCAAAGAAAATATGGTGTGCAAATTTTCTTTTATAAACTTCTTTTCGTCATGGTGAATTACTTAGTGGCAAACAAGAATATAGTCTTAAAACAAGGATATAGTCTTACATAGAGACAAACCTCTATAAACTTCGTGTTTTTGTATGTTTATTTTAATTCTGTCATTTTATTGCTTTCGACGGTGTAAAATTAAGGTTTCTAGTTCTTAACAGGTCTTTCTTTATTTCTTCTTTTAACTAAAATAAAGCTATGCTTGTCTTTTCAATCAAATTTTATATTTTTAATGGTAAAATAAAAAAAATTTCATCCACTCATATCACAAACTCGAAAACCGAAATGTCAAGAAATAAAAAAATTTGTAACATAAGATGCTACATTCTTGTAGATTAATTGTGACCTATGCTATAACTAAACACTATAGTCAATTCATATTATGGATCAAAAAAGAGCAAAGGACTGTCAAAATAAATAATTTATTTTTACTTCTAAGGAAAATAAAATAATTAGTCACAAATCCACAATTAAAGACCATATTCTAAAGAATTACTTATAAGTTTGACCACTTATTAAATCTCTCTCTAAATTGCACTCAAAAAAATCACATTAATATCTATCAAGTTTTATCAATTTCAT